TCTCTCTGTAGCCACAGGTAACCTAGAACTCACTATGAAGACCAGGCTGGCCTTGATCTCAGAGATTCACCCGCCTCAGCAGGGATTAAAGGCATGTACCACCACACCCAGCTAAAAATAAATGTAATTTTTTGTTTTGTTTTGTTTTTTTTGAGACAGGATCTCCCTGTAGTCCCAGCTGTCCTGGAACTCACTATGTAGACCAGGCTGGCCTTGAACTGGGATCAAAGGCATGCGCCACCACGCCCTGCAAAAATAAATTCCAGTCTTACTATTGAACACTAACTTACAGTACCTTCCCTTTGGGAACATCCCATGAGGCAGTTATTTACTGTCAAGAGAATACACTTCTTTTTAAATTAAACAATGAAATTACCCACCCACTCCTTTTCTGTTTCAGTCAGTCATTTATTTGTTTACAGCTGTTTGGTGTAAACAGTTAACCAAAGGACTAATCTTCTGATGTCTGTGATGAATATAACTCAGAACTACTGCCACAGGAAAAACATATGAACTGGAACGGGAAACTGCTAAGTCAGAGACTGAATTATAAAGGCCTTACGTTATAACCAACACTACATAAAACTAATAGATATATAACCTTCATTTCAGGTGGAGTATGCTGGACCTACAAACATGAAAATTAATTCCCAAGGACTGTAAAAAAAAAATTGCTTAGCAGATTCTAACGACTTGGTCAAAAAAGCTAGCTGAGTAGGAGGGTTTCTTGAAGTATATGCATGTATGTCTGTCCTTTGTGTGTACAGAAAGTACAAGAGAAAATGAGATCAAGTTCCACCATAGCATGCTATACTATAAGCCTACATTAAACTGCTACAAAAGGTCTTTACTCCAAAAACTACACAAGTTAACTGTTGGAAAGTCTGTATTAGGTAAAATTTACAATAGTTTACAATTATATATGTATATCACTTTACAATTTACAAAGTTTTTACATCCATTTTGATGCCCTGAAATAGATTTGATTTTTGTGCCCCTCCCCCAACATCCCCTCCATCAAGGACAGTGTTGAAGAACTCTTAATTAGGAAAAGTAATATAAATACATCAATTTGTGAGGTACCACAAAGAATCAGGGAAGCAGAATCTTAAAGAAAGGAGAAAACAATGTGAAACTCAAGGAGCGCCTAGGGGCCAGTGGAGAGTGAGGCAGCACAGGGGTGGGTCCCACTCACTACTAAGAGCACAGCATGTGTTCTCACAGAACACAAAAGACTAACTGAATAGAGAGTTAACTTCATGGTTTCTCAGAATACAAGCAGATGACCAAGTATGGTTCAAAATACATGTGGTTTCAAGGAAGGATTCTTTGGCCCCTTATGTTAGAAATTTACCAAAGGTCATTTGGGAGCTGCAACTTTTTGCACAACGGTGGCATCCTGAAGAACATCTACTCCATCAACCAAGTGTAACATCTTACAATCGTGGAAAAGGCGTTTCTGTGCCGGGATGAGTACTAGCGATGGAAAGCCGATACCTGGGCCATCTCTTGGTGATTCCTGCTGTAAGGACTGCAAGTGTTTCTCCAGAGAAAGCACTTGCCTGGGTATGACTCAGGGCTGGGCAGGAATTCACACAATGAATCCGGGTGGTGGGAAGGCGTAGAAGTATGCCTACAAAGATCAAAGAGCCAGGAATGGAAAACACACTGAAAACCTTCCCAAAGAACAGACTACCTCCCCACAGGGTAAGAATACTGCCTAAATGATGATGCATGTAATCAAGGAGGTTTAAAAAAAAATGTCCTAGGTGCTACGCAAAAATAAATAAATAAATAAATAAAAGAGGTGGGAGAAGTGTAATTATATACATACATGCACAAGAGTATGTGCAAAAGCAGAGAAAGGCCAAAAAAAAAACCAGAAAGATAAAGAACAAAGCTCATATCAAGGAGGCTGCCAACACCCCCTGCCCCCCTGCCCCCATATACGCAGGTATTTCTAGACAGCAGTACAGGTTGCCAATCCCAGCTCTCTACAAAACAACAAAGAAGCATGGTTTAAGAATAGCCCACCTAGTGTGGGATAAATGCCAGAGCCTTCTGCTGCCCAGAGTGTGGTTACCTGGGATTACCACCTAGGTGACTCACTGAATGTGCAATACTCACAGTGAGTCATGCCTTTAAATGAAGTCTCTCAAACCTGTCTGCTTGGAGATGAATTTGAGGATCTTGAGAGAGACTACTCAACAAGAGGGATTTTAGCCTCTCTTAAACATTTCTTTAATGGGAAAAATCTCAGACACAAGGCACAGGGCTAGCAAAGAGTCCGGTTGGGGGTTAGGATGATGCCCGAGTCTCATAAAAGGAAAAAGGTAAAAACCTAGCCAAAACACAATCAAGTTTCTCTCTGCTAACAGGTAAGAGATGTCTCACAAAAGCAAGAAACACGAACTAGGGATAAGGAGTGTCTCCTCCTGAAAACTCAAAGGAACCCCAAGTTACCCTTCCCAGAGGAGATGACCTTAAAGACGGGACTGAGAGGATCTAAGACCTAAAACCTGAACACACTCTACTGACCACCTCACAGACCTCACATCTCCTCAGAAACAAGGAAGTAAAGAAATCCAAATAGGTAGAGTAACAAGTTGATCCTTACCCAGTGAAACCACGTTTCCATAATTCTCTAACATCACTTCTCTGTAGAGATCCCTCTGAACAGAGTCCAGGCAGCCCCATTCCTCTCGAGTAAGGTGTACAGCCACATCCTCGAATGTCACAAACTCCTGCAATAATAATCCTGGCTGCTCTGGGGAATGAGGCTACTGCAGCACCAGAGCCAGAGAATGATGAACATGACACAAAGGATAGCCAGTGTGTATTTATACTGGGGCGAAGGGAGCACAGACTAGATAGAACCTAGGGACTAAATTCCACAACATCCCATAAGTGCCCACCACACTATCATGGAAAAGGTGGTGGTGGGAGATGGGAAAGTTAGTTGTGTCAAAGCCAGGTCTCTGAAGAGGACCTGTTCCCAAAGTGCTATTGAAAAGATTCCAGGCAAGGTTCCACAGATAGGATGAAGGAGAGGCCATCCTCAATCAGCAACAAGAATCCCTGAGGAAAAGCAGAGGGTCCCTCAGCTCACCTGGTACCTGGCTGTCAGGAGCGCAGCTGCCTGGTCTCCTGGGCTTCCCTGGTGGGGAAGAGCAGGCACCTGGGGAACAGGTGGAGCTGAGGGAGGAGAAAGGAGCCAAGAGTGAGAGCAGCCCTTCCCCAGGGCTCCCCTTTCAGGAAGAAGCTTCTCCTGACCAAAGGGTGTGAGTGGAGTCCTGCACATCAATATTCTGACAAAACCAACACTTTATCAGGTACTTGCTCCTACTTACACATGTTTAGGCCTGTGATACTGATTTTATTAGAAATTCCACTTTATTCCCATGATATGACATTCCTCTTTTGGAAAGGTAAGATTAAACCTGTTGTACAGATGAGCAAAGCAAAGCGTAAAGATATATCGTATTTCCTGGCTAGCCTGGGCTACTGTGAAAAACGCTGTCTCAAGAAAAAAACCCAAAAAAAACAAAAAAGGGCTGGAGACGTAGCTCAGCTGGCAGGAGTGCTTGCCTAGCATGCGTGAGTCTCCCAGTACCAGATACAATGGGCATGGTGGTATACACCTATAATCTCAGCACCTGGAAGGTGGAGAAGAAATTCAAGGTCATCAAGGCCAGGTCAATGTCAGCCTGTACTACATAACTCTTGTCTCCAAAAAAAAAAAAAAAGGTTTGAGTCAGGTGTGATAGCACAGGCGTTTAGTCCCAGCACTCAGGAGATAGAGGCAGGAGGGTCTCTGTGAGTTCAAGGCCAGCCTGGTCTACATAATGTGCTCCAAACTAGTCAGGGCTACGTAACAAGACCTTGTCTCAAAAAAATACTAAGATAACCAGCACCCAGGAGGCAGAGGCAGGTAGATCTCTATGAAATCATGGCCATCCTAGTCTACATTGAGTTACAGGCCAGCTGTGGCTATAGGGAGATCCTGTCTCAAAAACCACAAATAAATAAAATAATAAAAAGACTTGTGGGGCTTGAAGTGACTTATTCAAGGCCAGGGTTATTTAGCAGACCTCTGACACTTTCCCAGACACCATTTACTATAAACTCCAAAAAGCCTTACTTTGTGAATGAGCACTGTCTCTGTAACCAATGTGCAAGGCTCCCAGGGACAGAGAATAGTTATGTTTCCTCACAATCCTTTCTACCCTCCCACAACACCCCCCAGCACCCTCCACATAATGGCACTCCAACTGTGTTGCTGACATACAAGTTACTTTAGGCACTAGAGTTGTCACAGCAACCTAAGGCACAGTACTAATATAACAAGTGACTAAATGCAGTACCACGTGCTTACAATTCCAGCAGCTGGGAGGCTGAGATAGGACTGCCATCAGTTCAGTCAGTATGACCTACATAGCAAGACCTTGTCTCAAAAAAAGAAAAGACTGACCAACCTCCCTATCTAATACATGTATGTGAATGTATGGTCAATATGTAAATTTATGCATTCAAATGGGCACTGTGCTCAACCAAGGAATTAAATGGTTTCCTTGAACAAGATTCAATTAATCACAAACACTGCAGCTACAAAAGAAAAGGCAGGTAGCAAAGCACACTAAATCATCAAGAAGAGATACTAAGTGAAGGGCACAGAGGGAGGGGAGGGTCCTGACTCTAAGAGGAAATAAGAACCAGGCAAGGATAATGAGATGTGGCAAAAGCAGTGTATTTTAGAAATGATTCTGGATGTGGTAACTTGAACAAAGTCAAAGTTTTCTGAAGGACAATTAGCCAGAGCAGAATGATCTGCTTATTAAAGAAAACTAGACATCCTTAACAGAAGGTCCCTGACAGGACAGAGTTCACATTTGTCCCTCCCTTCCAGAGTCATCTTATTCAAGTTTCAGGCCTCTCTCATACCAGGCCCAAGAGTCCTTTGATACTCCCAGTCCTGGAAATAAGTGCTGTCTCTGTCTTACCCCCAGTGAATCCCTGTTCCATCTCGGTGTCCTGCAGAAATTGAAGCTCTGGGGAAAGACATTCAGACTGGCCCTCCAAAGACTGAAACTGGACCCTTGGTGATCCTGCTGCATCCTGGGATGATATTTGTTCCATCCCTGTTCAGGAGGGCAATGACCATCACTGCAAGGTGAAATTAGGAAAAATTACTGTAGTAAGTTAAAATGTCCTATCATTTCACATTCTCAAGCTTGGCAAAATACCTTACATACTGTAGATACTCAAGAAAAACTAGTTCAAAATAAATTGAAAAATCCAATTCCAGTTGCCACTGCCTACAGAGCTAAGTTTCTCTAAATGTAATTAATTAAGTGTGCTAATTTTGACCCAAGGGAGGGGTTATAATAATTACCAAAAATAAACAACAGAAAGAAAAATGAGGGCTGAGGATCTAGCTTGCTAGTAGTATTGGCCTAGCATGCACAAGGCCTGCTTCAACCCCAGCGCCCACCCGCCCGCTCCCCCCTCCCCCAAACACAAAGGTCAGTTTCAAATCTTATGGTCCAAATCATAACAAGATCTACGAATGCGGAACTATTCAGACTCTAAATTCTGATTTCGTGATTTTTTTTTTTTTTAATCGCTAGGCCTGTAATCCTAGGAACTGGAAAGCGGAGGCAGGAGGATCAGGAGTTTTAGGTCAGCTTCAAGGCTGCCTCAAAAACAAACAAAACCAACACAGTACCACTGAACAGTGTAAAGCTTTCTGTGGAAAGTTTGAGATATCTGAAGTTTGCAGCCTTCTTTAGAGGCTCAAGTTCACACCAGGAGAAGTAATGGTGATTACTCATTGTTTTTCTCAAAAGCAGGCCCCAAGGGAACTACGCCGAAAGGCTGTCAATCGGCCTAATGAATAATAAAACTCACAGGGAGACAGACCCTCAGGGCGGCTCGGGCAGGGCGGTCTGCGGTACCCCGGGAAGGGCAGCGATCCGCCTGGTGTCCTTCAAACCCAAGGACGAGCCGGTCCGTCCACCCTCCACAACCCCCGGGAGCTGCCGTCCCGTAAAGGCGACCCAACCTGCCCTTCGCCCACTTCCCTTTTAGGCCAAAGTACACTCCCAAAGGGGCAAGGCCGGCAGTGCGGAGCAGCCCACACCCGGCACGACCACGGGGTTCTAACTCGGGGCCCTCAGCTCCCGGGCTTCGCCACCGACCCGCACCGAGGAAAACAGGGCCTCAGCCCGGCACTCCGCGCTCCAGGGGCCCGGAACGCCGTCAGCCGCAGACACCCAGCGCTTCCTCCTCCGACGCAGGAGAAACCAGCGGCCGCTCCCACGGCGACGCGAGGACGGTTTCCGGGGACTCACCCGGGTGCAGAGGCGGGCCTAGACACAGTACCGTCACGATACTCTTGTTCACAGGGCTGCGGCAGCCTTTCCCGGGCGCTCTAGACTGCGGGAGGCCGGCGCTTGCGTCACTTCCGGCAGCGGAAGTCCTAGTGAGGATGAGGGGCCCGGATGAGGACCCCGGATGAGGGCTCTGGATGAGGGCTTTAGATCCCAAGGTAGAGTCTCGGACACTTTTTGGGTTGGTTTTTCCTAGTCCTCATGCGGTCGCGTATACTCTGTTGACTGGTCGACACTTAACACCAACAAGGACGGGACAGATGTTGGGAAAGAGCCCCTGACTTTTTCCTTGTGCTAACCCTTGACACCCGCCTCAGGGAGGTGGCCAGTTCAAATGGACAGCTCGTTCCAGAAGTAATTAAGGAATGGTCGCCTACGGCTGGTGGAGAATTTGTACAAGGATTCTTAGGCATAGTGTGAAGTAACACAACACAGTGTGAAGTAACAGGAACTCTTGGGCCCCATACTGGTTTATGTCGACCCCGTTTAACTTTCCTACTAGGAAGTACCAGACACTAAATTGCCCATAGGAGGGGAGGTTCTGAGCGTTGCCCTACTGGGAAAGGGCAGACATTTTTTCCAAGAGGAGACCACCCATCACCGACCTCAGGGAGTGCATTAGGACTCCCAACCCTTTTTTAATGTAGTTCAGAAAAAGCCCTGAAAAACAGACCCTGTTTGTATCATGTAAGTCAGTTCCTTGAATCTGAACAAATGACTGCTGAAGCCAGGCATCCCGCAGGTTTGACTCCCCAGGTACGCAGGAGATAGATCTATTGACATTGAAAGTGGAGGAGGAAGATGGAAATGAGGAAGGGCATCCTCAAAAGAAGAACAATAAGGTACACTGACAGCCACAGTTCCTTAGTTGTTCTATACGTTCATATGAATGAGAGAGCCTTGTTATCATTGTACTTAGTTGCCTACTAAGTGGCAAAAGAGAAAATGGTTCACAGAGTTGCTGAAAAAATTACCCTCCCAGTATGTACGGATATGGAACATACCATTATTTTTTTTACCTTTTTAAACTTACATATTTATTTTTATTTTAAGTATATGTGTTTTACTTGTATGTCTGTAAGAGCTCCATGTTGTGCAATGCCTGTGGAGGCCAGAAGGAGGTGTCAGATCCCCTGGAACTGGAGTTACAGATGGTTGTTAGCCACCATGTGGGCACTGGGAACCAAACCTGGGTCCTCTGCAAGAGCAGCCAGTGCCCTTAACCACTGATCCATCTCTCCACACAATTTTTGATGAGAAATCAGCTGATAAGCTAAAAACTACCCTCTTAGTAACTTAGCACACTCTCTTGCTGAAGCAATACTATTGCAGCACATTTGGAAGCAAAGCTTTTTGTATGGATATAATCTGGTATAGCCTCTGTGACCGTGCTCAATGAGAAGTTTAATACTGCAAGTTGTCTGGTGTTCTTGGTTTATGTCAGATATGTGAGGCAAGATGATGTTGTGGAGAATCTCTTCTGTTGTTTCAATTTAGGTTCACATATAATTGGATTCAATTTACTAGCCAAATTTGAAAAATGTATGGTTAGTCAATATAAAGTAAAATAAATAAAAATTGTAAAGGAATCTCATGTGATGGAGCAGCAAAGACCAGACGATATAGAAGACTTCTTGAAAAATTATTAGGTGTCTCTGTGGCACTATGAGTTAGTACACACAGCTGCTGCTGCTGACTAAAAGATTAGTAGTTCATGCCTACCCAGGGACACAACAGCACTTCAGGGGGGCTGAAAAGATGACTAGGTGGTAAAGAACACTGGCTGCTTTTGCCTAGGGCATGGGTTCACTTCCCAGCACCCATATGGTGGCATACAACCACCTGTGACTTCAGCTTCAGGGAAATCTGATGTCTTCTTCTGGCCTCCATGAGTACTGCACACATGTGGTTCTCATACATACATGGAGGCAAACACTCAAACGATTAAAAAAAAAAGTATTAGGGGAGCTGGAGAGATGGCTCAGTGGTTAAGAGCACTGGCTACTCTTGCAGAGGACCTGAGTTCAGTTCCCAACACCCACACGGTGGCTAACATGCACCCATAATTCCAGTTCCAGGGTATCTGATGCCCTCATCTGGCTTCTGTAGGTAGTGCACACATGCATGCAGGCAAATCACTCATACACATAAAAAAATTTTAAGCCAGGCATGGTGGCGCATGCCTTTAATCCCAGCACTCAGTAGGCAGAGGCAGTCAGATCACTGTGAGTTTGAGGGCAGCCTGGTCTACATAGCCAATTCCAGAGCAGCTGGGGCCACACAGACTCTGTTTCAAAAATAACAAAAAAAAAATTTTTAATAAATCAAAATTACTAGAAGTAACCCATAACAACATTTTCTGGAATCACTGTTTTACTTACCAAGAAGTGTTAGTATCCAAAGAAATACCACCAAATCTAAGGAATGTGTTGAGAAGTGCAGTGAAAATTGTTAATTTTATTAAAGAAAGCTCATCAAATAATTGACTTCTGGAAATATTTTGTTCAGAGAGTGAAATTGACCATACTCACTTAACTGTTTCATGTGGAAATTTGTTGGTTATCTCAAGGGAAGATACTGGACAGAGTATATGATCTCAGGAATGACATTTACATTTTTCTCATTGAAGAATAGCCTTATTTTGCAGCTCTTGGTTTTTTTCTTTGTTTTTTGTTTTTTGATCTATTTATTTTTATTTTGTGTGTATGAGTGTTTTACCTGCATATATGTAAGTGCACCCTTGCATGCAGTTCCCATGGAGGTCAGAAGGGGACCTCAAAACCCCTAGAACTGGAGTTATAGATGGTTCTTAGCTGTCATGTGGGTGCTGGGAACTGAACCTGGGGTCTTCTGCAAGAGCAGGAAGGGCTCTTAACCACTGAGTCATTTCTCCAGTCCAAAATCTTTTTTTTTTAAGTAATGTCGTAGCTGCTATATGTTCCCCACACAGTTTCAACACATTAAAGAGAACATTTTCAAATTTTGTGTATTTAGTATTTTGCCTACATGTATGTAAGTGCACAATTTGCGTGTAGTGTTTGTGGAGGTCAGAAGAGGGCATCAAATCCCTTAGAACTGGAATCATGGATGGTTGTTGGCCGTGAGTGCTGGGAACCCAACCTGGGTCCTCTGTGAGAGCAGCCAGTGCTCTTAACTGCTGAGCTATCCCTCCAGCACCTAAAGAGAATATTATTAATGAAGACTACTTAAATGAAATAAAATTGGGGCCAAGCATGGTGGTGCATGCCTGTAGTCCCAGAACTTGGGAGGCAGAGGCAGGCTGATCTCTGTGAGTTCAAGGCCTGCCTGGTCTACACAGTGAGTTCCAGGCCAGCTGGTGCTACAGGGAGACCCTGTCTAACCAACAATAAAACGGGCTGTTAGGAGCACTGACTGCTCTTGCAGAACTGATACCTTCTTGCTGAGGACCTAGATTCCATTCCCAGCATCCATGTAGGGGCTAACAACTGGTTGGTTAACTCCAGTTCCAGGGAATCTGACGCCCTCTCTGACCTCCACAGGCATTGCACAACATGGGTGCACATGCAGGCAATACACTCATACACATAAAATAAAAATAACAAATAAAATATTTTATTTAAAAAAAGAAATAAAATTGGAGGGAGGGGCTGGAGAGATGGCTCAGCGGCTAAGAACACTGGTTGTTCTTACAGAAGACCTGGGTTGGAATCCCAGCACCCACATGGCAGCTAACAACTGTCCATAACTTCAGTCCCAGGGGATCCAACAGCCTCTTTTGACCTTCTTAGGCATTGCAAGACACAGGTGTACTTACCTACATGCAGGCAATACATGCATACACAAAATGAAATAAAATAAATAATAAAATAAATAAATTGGAGATACTGTTGCATCTTGCTTCTTTGTCTCAAAACCCTAATTACTACTTTCCAGAAATTTCAATTGTTATAGGATAACATTAGGATGAAAAAGTCATTTGCTTTTCAAGATCCAGAATCCATAATGGAGTTAAATTTGGTGCCTGAGAGGAGAGAAGTTATTGTGGCTCAGTCCATCATTCACACTAAAGAATTACTATGAAATGTTAAATTTACTGGCATTTAGATTAAGAGTAAGCAGAGATTAACCCTGCTAAATAGTGTGTTTTGCTATTATTAAAATTCACAATTATCCAACTAGAATTTTTCTATCTTGACATGGTTAAAAACCAAAAATATTTTTTAAAAGAAAAAAAAAAGAATAAGCCAGGTGTGGTGGCACATCTTTAATCCCAGAACTTGGGAAGCAGAGGCAGGCGGATCTCTGTGATATCAAAGTCAACCTGGTCTACTTAGTGAGTTTCAGGCCAGTTGGGACTACAGGGAGGCCCTATCTCAAAAAGACCAAAATAAATAAATAAATAATAATAACAGTAATAATGATAATAATAATAATAGAGGAAGGAAGGAAGGAAGGAAGGAAGAAGGAAGGAAGGAAGGAAGGAAGGAGGAAGGAAGGAGGAAGGAAGGGGGCTGGGGAGATGGCTCAGTGACTAAGAGCACTGGCTACTCTTGAAGAAGACCTGGCTTTGATTCCTAGCACTCCTCATGGCAGCTAACAACCATCTGTAACTCCAGTTCCAGGGGATCCGGGGATCCAGTGCCCTCTTCTGACCTCCATGGGCATTTCAGAACACAGGTGCGCTTACACACATGCAGGCAATACACTAATACACATAAAATAAAAATAACAAATAAAATATTTTATAAACAAAACAGACTCAGCAGTGCACTCAACACATGGCCAGCAGTAACTTCAAGTGTTCCTGACTGGAAGGAATTTATGAACAGGCAAGCATGCTCATCTCTTAAATGACATCTTTATGGAATTTTGTTTTTGTAATTTGGGGGAATTGATTATTGTTGTTTTAGAAAAATTTTTGGAGGGTGTATGTAGAGATGTTTTTGGTTTTGCTTTTTTTGAGGCAACTTCT